TAGCACTGACCTCTGCCTCCTTTACTACTGATCTCTGAACTCTGTGTCACTTACTACTGACCTGTGAACTCTGCTTTACTACTGACCTTTGAACTCTACATCACTTACTACGGACCTCTGCATCACTTACTACTGACCTCTGAATTCTGCATCATGTACTACTGAACCCCTGCACTCGCCTTCCCTTTTAACCACTGCCAATATTTAGCGCAATAAAAACCACACCCAATTTCTGCCACAGCACACTTCATATGCCAACCTTTTTTCTTGCTCTAGGGGGCTGAGCCTATGATTATGCACACAAACCCACTGCTTGCATAAAACTCCCCTGCCCAGCTACAAAATTCTACAGAATTTGGGGAAAACATGATTTGTTTATTAATTTCTGGATTGGAGAAGCCACAGATACATTTTAGGAGTTTTTGTTCTTCTATCTGAAATATGTGATTGGGGATGGAAACGGGGAGGTCCCTGAGAGCATACAATTTGGCAAGATACATCATCTTGACCACATGAATCCTACCGAACCATGATATAAGGAAATATTGCCAAGATTCCCCAAGTAGGGCGTTCAACAATCTAAATAGAGGTAGAAAATCAATTGATATAGTACAGTGATGAACATGGATTTCGACTTGGTTGGTCCTATGCTGGCCCGATAGGATAGGGATGTCATCTAGTACCAAGAAAATGATTTGAGAGAGGAAGCTATGTGGAGAGGTAAGGCACATTTTTATGTTACACTGTTCAACAGGTAAAAAGTTTTGGGCATAAAATTAGCTAATCTTACATAATTTTGGGGTGCTGAAAACGAAAATGACCCTAAAAAATGTTGATTGGCTCTAGTTTCCATGATATATTCACCCATCTAATGACGTAAGCCATTCAAAATTATGATGCAACTTCAGCTGCATATTGCGCAATTGATACTGGTGACCAATAGAAAATTGCATGTATACTGAGATGATGCAATATTAGCCTTTAATTGCATCACTTCACTGCATAAAAGCTGCAGTATCTGTAGCTGATTGAAGTTCGACAGCGTCTTTACATTTCGTTTTATGCTTATATAGGCTACTCAGTAATGCCTCGAACTTGTGTGAATAAAGCAGATAATTTCTGCTATATCTGCGGTGAAATAACTTTTATCTCACAAAAAAGGAGGATAACAGGAATGATTAAGAAAGCCTACAACTTGTATTTTGGCTGCAAGATAGGAGACCAGGACAAGAGCTGGGCACAACATATATGCTGCAATTCTTGTGGGACGGCACTGGAGCAATGGTTGAATGGAAAAAAGGCATCTATGCCTTTCGCTGTGCCAATGATTTGGAGAGAGCCAACAGATCATGTTAGTAATTCTTACTTTTGTATGGTGCCTCCAATTGTAAAAGGGCTAAATAAGAAGAAAAAGTTATCTGTGCACTATCCAAATATTCCATTCGCAATACGTCCAGTTCCTCATGGAGAGGGGCTACCAATTCCTAAAGCACCAGAATCCTTCGTGGTTGAGTCAAGTGAGGAAGAACCTGAAGCGTGTAGTCACGTGCAGTTGTAAGAGATAGCCCTTTCCTCGAATACAAGAGAAAAGCCAAGAGAAGCAAAACCGACACAAACTGAAGACAAAACTAGTGAGAATCCTAAGTATTAAAATCATTCAACTTAGCTTATGGCTATAATTTTTCTTGGTAATCCTATGCAATATATTATGCCATTTAGGCTTTGTTATGTAGTCAATATCACTTGCTTTATATTTGTGGAAAGACATCTATCTATATAATTATTGTGCATTATGTAGTCATTACGCCTATAGTAGAAAACTTTCCGTTTACAGAAAAACTAGAGCCAATTGACAAATTTCATTGTTATATTTGAACTCAGAATGTGAAATTCATTAAGAAATGGATCCTTTTGTTTCCAAAACTGGCAAAAAATAAAAATTTGTTGAACAGTGTTACCTGCAAAAATGTGAGCTTGTGATTAACCCCAGTGGTTTCAGTTTCTTTAATATTGATTAAATGCTGGATTTCAGCTTTAAGGTTTTTGTAAATCAAAATTTAGCACAAACCTAAAATTTCACCTGCTTCATGTGAACCCCCCCCCCACCCTGCTTCTCATATAACAATTAACATACTGCTGGCCACACACGAATTCGGGAAAATACACAATAGGAAGACACTTAAATTAGGATGGGACAGAACAAGGAGAACAGACAGGGAACAGATCGTGAGTATATTTAGGAGATAATAAGCACTGCTGCCTTGCTCTGACAACGAATAACGTCTCGGCAATGTATATGTGGGAGGGTGCTGCAAGAATATAGCTGAAGGGCTGTGTTGTTTTAACATAATTATTGAGCTCAGAACTGTAATTATTCAAGGCAGATTCAGTTCAGATCAGGGATCTGTATCATGATTCATTTCATAAGCAAGATAATTAAAGAGTCACTTAGGAAAGGATCGACATTGACTCCTGAGATGTTGTCAGGAGACATTAACTGCTGTGCTGCCAAGGCCTAGCACTAAAATCGCATCAGAGACATAGGCTAAGTTACACAGATGATTTTAAGTAGCTCAGCTGTGCTACTAAAATCATTAGTGATTAGTTGCTGAACAGGTGAGACATATGGTGTAAACTACACATCAGCATAAAGTAGTGATACGTCACACACAAATGAAACATTTGTGAAATTAATCGCAATTATTACTCTATAGGAGGGGTAAGCATTTCATTTTCCCAAGGGTTAACATTAGAAAGTGGTACTGTTGAGGGCTGAACCAATAACCTGAACTTAATTTTGCTCAATACAAATTTTGGACCTAGGAAAGTCAGTAAGTATGCAAACACTGAAAACAAACACCGGCTGAGAGCGCATGCACAGGTGGCAGGAGCAGATGGACTTCTAACCAGCTTCGCACACTCCCAGCACAGTCAGACTGCATTAGCGGCTCCCTGCCTCACTTATCTCGGCCACCTGCCTGGATCACTTGCTGAGGCGGTGGCTACCCGAACTACGTCCTTTCGGTCGACAGGGAATGCTCCAGATGGCTCCCGCAATCAGACCCAAGTGGCAGGGGGAGGTGGCAAGATGGTATCCGGCACCAGCTCCCACACCAGCATGACAATGGAGAAGGAGAAGCTGCTGCCACAGAGGACCAAGTGGAATCCCCTTGGAACTGAAGGCCATACCGCTGGCTCTTCTAATGGTCCTCCATGTATGGGTGAGCTAACAGATCCTCCCTGCTCTCTCCCCAGCCCAGTCAAATCCCTCCTGCAGGCTGCAGCCTCATCATCAGGCCAAGATTCCCACACTTCCTCTGCCCTGGATAAAGAAATAGCAGACATTTTTTCTCAGTCAAAGTAGTAGCCAGGAGCCAGACCTGGATAGCCCTGCAAATTTCCAAACTTCACCACCTGCACCACCACAATACTTGGGGGACTCGGTACTAACTTCCCGCTTTGCTAATTTGCTTCAGAGGGAATTGGAAAAGGCCATTACTAAATTGGCCTCTGAGCTAAAACAAGATTTTCAAAAGATGAGCTTAATACTGTCCCCACCACTGGGAAAGTATTAAGTCTAAGGTAGATGATACAGTCCACCTAGGGATTCAAAATTCCAATACGATTACTGACTTACAAGATCGCCTGGAGGAAGCATACTCTAAAATTGATAATCTTGAAAATCGGGCTAGGCGCTACAGCTTTGTAGTAGGGGCCTCCTTGAAACAGTGAAAGATGTCACCTCTATCATATATTCTCTTATGCAATCTGCAGTACGGGATATTGATGAAATCCATTTTGAGATTAATCACATTCATTGGGCTCTGGTCCCTTTAAAACCGGACAGGCCGCCCCAGAGATGTAAATGTGAAACCACACTTCTTCAGGGTAAAGGAGGTGGTTATGCATTACGCCAGAGAACACCCAGATCTGGAAGCTGATGGCTACAAAACTCTAATCTTTGCAGATATCTCTCAGGCTACCATTCAAAAAAGAAGGGCCTTCAAATCCTTGCTTTCACCTCTCATGCAACGGGACATTTGCGACAGATGGAACTATCCTTTCCACGTATTCACGAATAATGGCAAATCCTACTCCTTTTCTACATTCTCTAAAGGAGAGAAGGTCTTATTGAAATTGGGCTCTCTTTCCCACAGCCCCTTGTCTCAGAACCAGTCAAGATCTAGTGGTCCTTCTTCTCTGCTCTCATCCATCTGGTCGCTTCCGCCGATGAAGAAATCTACAACCTCTCACCATGTAACCTTGTCTTTTTTTCTGCCAGTGGACTCTTCTCAGTGGTCCCCTTACATTAGCCACCACATGTGCTCCTTTCCACTTCGCTAGAAGTGCCTTGAACTTGGCAGTTCTAGTTCTTTCAGTTGTTGCATTTAATTTTGGATTGGTGACTTTGTCCCGGCCTAACTATAATAAAAATATAATAGTTTATTATGCGTGTTATTATTGATACCTATACAGGTGACCTAGGGACCTTTCATTACCTACACTATATTACCAAAAGTATTGGGACAACTGCCTGTACACGCACATGAACTTTAATGGTATCTCAGTCCTAGTCAGTAGGGTTCAATACTGACAAGGCCCACCCTTTGCAGCTATAACAGCTTCAACTCTTCTGGGAAGGCTGTCCACAGGGATTAGGAGTGTGTCTATGGGAATGTTTGACCATTGTTCCAGAAACGCATTTGTGAGGTCAGGCACTGATGTCGGACAAGAAGGTTTGGCTTGCAGTCTCTCCTGTAATTCATGGTGTTCGACCGGGTTGAGGTCAGGACTCTGTGCAGTCCAGTCAAGTTCCTCCACCCCAAACTTGCTCATCCATTTCTTTATGGACCTTGTTTTGTGCACTGGTGCGCAATCATGTTAGAACATGAGAAGCGCGATTTGTCACTCCAGAGAACACGTCTTCACTGCTCTAGAGTCCAGTGGTGGTGTGCTTTACACCACTGCATCCGATACTTTGTATTGGAATTGGTGATGTAAGGCTTGGATATAGCTGCTCGGCCATGGAAACCCATTCCACGAAGCACTCTGCTGTTGTGCTAATCTGAAGGCCACACATAGTTTGGAGGTCTTTAGCTATTGACTCTGCAGACAGTTGACTACTTATGCGCACTGTGCACTTCAGCATGCGCTGACTCCACTCTGTCATTTTACGTGGCTAACATTTGTGCCTGAGTTGCTGTTGTTCCCAGTTGCTTCCACTGTGTTATAATACCACTAACAGTTGACCATGGAATATTTAGTAGTAAGGAAATTTCATGGATGGACTTCTTGCACAGGTGGCAACCAATCACGGTACCATGCTTGAATTCACTGAGCTCCTGAGAGCGACCTATTCTTTCGCAAATGTTTGAAGAAGCAGTCTGCATGCCTAGGTGCTTGATTTTATACACCTGTGGCCATGGAGGTGATTGGAACACCTGAATTCAATGATTTGGAGGGGTGTTTTCAATACCTTTGGTAATATAGTGTACGTATGTATATATTTTTCAGTGCCAGGAGGGGTCTATGCACTCTCCCTAATTGAAGGACTCTTCCCATTGCTTAGTTTTGGTGAAGACTCCTCCATTCCCAGAACTTGTGTTCTGGACTATTTCACTGTTTTTGTACACTCTGATATTAGATAGCAGTAATGTTTTGCATTGCCTGATGCTGGGCGGTTCTCAGCCCATGTGTCTCCTATTTCTTTCTTTCCTTCTCTTTTTTCCCTTACAATTTTTTAATTTTTTTTTTACGGTCACCCGGGGACTCTTCAGGACACTGGTTCCTTTGGGTTGGTGGGTGGGTCTGTATGTCTATAACAATGTTTGCCGTTTTCCATGTCTCAAACTAGTGAAAAACACCATCCAATTGATCTTCCACAATGTTCAAGGGCTAGGATCACCTTCACAATGCATTAAAGCCTTCACACATTCTAGGTCCTTAGCAGCGGATGTGGTGGCTCTTCAGGAAACACATTTTACTTCTTCTTTCGCCCCCCAATACATTCACAAAGATGGAAGTGGCTCTCTGTCTGTCGAGGCGGCTTTCTTTTGTCGAGTCTAAAGTGCTGAAGTACAAGGAGGGGCGATATTTTTTGGTGAAGGGACATTTGGGAGAGTACTTGGTGACCTTCTTAGTTTATTATGCCCCTAAAACAAATTGAGTGGCCTTCTTTAATTCCTTATTTCAATCTTTGGCCCCTGAATTTGAAGGGGATTTTATTTTAGTGGGCGATTCTATTCTAGGTTTAGACCATATCCTGGATAAATCTCATGTTGCTAAACTTAGATCTCCTTCTAAACAAAGCATTCATTTGCACAATTATTATATCATTATGACCTTGTTGATGCTTGGAAGGAGGCCAATCCTACAACTAGAGATTTTTCTCACTTCTCTAGAGCTCATAATCATTATTCCCGCATTGATCATGTGCTTCTCCTCTCAGGACTTCTACCTAAATTGCTCTCAGCTAAAATAATTTCCATGCCTTGGTCTGACCATGATCCTATAATATTAACACTTCCTAACTTGACAGTTAGAATGGCCAAACCACACTGGCAACTGAACGTGTCTCTTAGTTACGAATCTTACTGCTTAGATATCACCACCCATTTGAAAACTTACTTTGATGTTAAAGCAGATGACACTACCCCAGCGATTAACTGGGCCTGTTAGAGGCTTCCTTATTCAATTGTCATCTACACTTGTGGCCAAAAGTTTTGAGAATGACACAAATATTAATCTGCACAAAGTCTGCTGCTTCAGATCTTTTTGTCAGATGTCACTATGGTGTACTGAAGTGTAATTAAAAGCATTTTAATAAGTGTCACAGGCTTATATTGACAATTACATTAAGTTTATGCAATGAGTCAATATTTGCAGTGTTGACCCTTCTTTTTCAAGACCTCTGCAATTTGCCCTGGCATGCTGTCAATCAACTTCTGGGCAACATCCTGATTGATGGCAGCCCATTCTTGCATATCCAATGCTTGGAGTTTGTTGGCATTTGTGGGTTTTTTTTTTGTGCACCCGCCTCTTGAGGATTGATCACAAGTTCTCAATGGGATTAAGGTCTGGGGAGTTTACTGGCCCTGACCCAAAATTTTGATGTTTTGCTCCCCAAGCCACTTAGTTATCATTTTTGCCTTATGGCAAGTGCTCCATCATGCTGGAAAAGGCATTGCTCATAACCAAACTGTTCTTGGATGGTTGGAAGAAGTTGCTCCTGGAGGAGGCTTTTGTACCATTCTTAATTCATGGCTGTGTTTTTAGGCAAAATTGTGAGTGAGCCCACTCCCTTGGCTGAGAAGCAACCCCACACATGAATGGTCTCAGGAAGCTTTACTGTTAGCATCACACAGGACTGATGGTAGTGCGCACCTTTTCTTCTCCAGACAAGGTTTTTTCTGGATGTCCCAAACAATCAGAAAGGGGATTCATCAGAGAAAATGATTTTACCACAGTCATTTGCAGTCCAATCCCTGTACCTTTTGCAGAATATCAGTCTGTCCTTGATGTTTTTCCTGGAGTGAAGTGGCTTCTTTGCTGCCCTTCTTAACACCAGGCCATCCTCCAAAAATATTTGCCTCGTACCTGCCTACTGTCATTTCTGAGTAAGCTCTGCACTTGTGGCGCCCTGATCCCGCAGCTGAATCAACTTTAGGAGATGATCCTGGCACTTGCTGGACTATCTTGGGCGCCTAAATCCTTCTTCACAACAATTGAACCTCTCTCCTTGAAGTTCTTGATGATCCGATAAATTGTTGATTTAAGTGCATTTTTAGGTCTCATATCACCAAGGGACGATAAGTATTCATTTAACCACGACCTATTGCCTATCACTTATATCCCGACTGTTGTGGAGGGACTGTGGTTACTGTATATGGTGTATTTCCTCACTATGAGGCCTAGGAAACATTTCACCTGGATCACAGTCTTGGATGCATTGTGATGCGTGAGGGAGGTTTTTCATATACTACCTCAATCCTCCCCTGGATGATGCTTATATTAGACATCAGAGGGAGGTAAAAGGGCACTCATGTCATCTTTGGTTTCCTCCTCTGGATCACATCCATTTGTGGCTAGTAATGACATATTTACTGGCCTCTTGTGCCACTCCCCAGCCTGAAACAATCCCCCCCAACTGATGTCAGTAGAAGAGAGGCGGGGAAGCTAGCAGAGTTGCATGGGGGAGGGGGGTCCAAGGGAGCACACCAGGGCCCTGGGCAGCAGAAGGAAGGGGAACCTGGACAGGAGGGGTGGTGAAGGCAGCATTTGCTGTAGCCAAATCTCTGTATTTTCCTCCTGCAGCAGCTGAAAGCTGGCGGTAGGGAGAAGAGGAGAAGCAGGCTACCACCTGTTGCAGGAAAAAAAATACAGGGATCTGTTTGAGTAAATTGCACCCTCCGCTACCCCTCCTGTCCAGGTTCCAGCAGGTAAGGGACGCAATCTACCCGTCGCCTGCTCACGGTGGACGGGTTATTGACCCCCAGTTTAGACGGATCTGTACAGATGTAAGTGGATGCCATCCATTTGCTTCTGTTGTTTTTATGTCCGATTTTAGGCAAGAAACATTTTTTATTTATACTTTTTGCCACCTCTGATTGGTGATATAAAACCTCTGAACTGATATAAACTGATGTAAACTGAACAGAATTGAAATAAAGTGCAAACTGAATCTGTTTTCTCTTTGAAAAAAACTTGACTGAAAGGATGATGCCCATGGGGCCTAATTCATTTGCTCCATCAGTTTGATGATCAGTCTCTGCTTCTAGTTAAATAATTGCTAAAAATTTTAGAAGCATGGCTAAGCTACTAAAAATCATCATGTGATTGAAAAAGTATTCATATCCCTTGATATTTTCCACATTTTGTCATGTTACAACCAAAAAAACTAAATGTATTTTATTGGGATTTTATGTAATAGGCCAACACAAAGTGGCACATAATTGTAAAGTGGAAGGAAAACAATGACTGGTTTTCAACATTTTTTACAAATAAATATGTGAAAAGTGTGGAGTGCATTTGTACTCAGCCCCCCTGAGTCAATACTTTGTAGAACCACCTTTCGCTGCAATTACAGCCTTTTTGGAGAGGTCTCTACCAGCTTTGCACATCTAGAGAGTGAAATGTTTGCCCATTCTACTTTGCAGAATCGCTCAAGCTCTGTTAGATTGGATGGAGAGCGTCTGTGAACAGCAATTTTCAAGTCTTGCCACAGATTCTCAATTGGATTTAGATCTGGACTTTGTCTGGGCCATTCTAACACTTGAATATGCGTTGATCTAAACCATTCCATTGTGGCTCTGGCTGTATGTTTAGGGTTGCTTTCCTGCTGGAAGGTGAACCTCCGCCCCGTTCTCAAGTCTTATACAGACTCTTGAAAACAGAAAACAGGTTTTCTTCTAAGATTGCCCTGTATTTGGCTCCATCCATCTTCCCATCAACTCTGACCAGCTTCCCTGTCCCTGCTGAAGAAAAGGATTCTCACAGCATGATGCTGCCACCACCATGTTTCACGGTGGGGATGGTGTGTTCAGGGTGAAATGCAGTGTTAGTTTTCTGCCACACATAGTGTTTTGCTTTTAGGCCAAAAAGTTCAATTTTGGTCTCATCTGACCAGAGCACCTTCTTCCACATGTTTGCTGTCTCTCCCACATGGCTTCTCACAAACTGCAAACGGGACTTCTTATGGCTTTTTTTCAGCAATGGCTTTCTTCTTGCCGCTCTTTTCATAAAGGTCAGATTTGTGGAGTGCACGACTAATAGTTTGTCCTGTGGACAGATTCTCCCACATGAGCTGTGGATCTCTGCAGCTCCTCCAGAGTTACGATGGGCCTCTTGGCTGCTTCTCTGATTAATGCTCTCCTTGCCCAGCCTGTCAGTTTAGGTGGACAGCCATGTCTTGGTAGGTTTGCAGTTGTACTCTATTTATCAACTCCTCTGGGAAGGCTGTCCACAAGGTTTAGGAGTGTGTCTATGGGACATTGTCCAAAATGTCATGGTATGCTGACACCTTAAGAGTTCTCTTTACTGGAACTAAGGTGCCAAGCCCAATCCCTGAAAAAAACCCCACACCATAATCCCTCCTCCACCAAACTTTACACTTGGCACAATGGAGTCAGGCAAGTACCATTCTCTTGGCAACCACCAAACCCAGACACGTCCATTGGATTGCCAGACAGAGAAGCATGATTTGTCACTCCAAAGAACACGTCTCCATTGCTCTAGAGTCCAGTGGCGGCGTGCTTTACACCACTGTATCCAATGCTTTGCATTGCACTTGGTGATGTAAGGCTTGGAAGTAGCTGCTCGGCCAGAGAAACCCATTCCATGAAGCTCTCTATGCACTGTTGTGCTAATCTGAGCCACATGAAGTTTGGAGGTCTTTAACTATTAACTCTGCAGACAGTTGGCGACTTATGCGCACTGTGCACTTCAGCATTCGCTGACCCCCGCTCTGTCATTTTACGTGGCCTACCACTGCTGTTGTTCCCAGTTACTTCCACTTTGTTACAGTACCACTAACAGTTGACCATGGGATATTTAGTAGCAAGGAAATTTCACAGATGGACTTATTGCACATGTGGCAACCTATCACGGTACCATGCTTGAATTCACTGAGCTCCTGAGAGCGACCCATTCTTTCACAAATGTTTGTAGAAGCAGTCTGCATGCCTAGGTGCTTGATTTTATACACCTGTGACCATGAAGGTGATTGGAACACCTGAATCCAATGATTGGAGGGGTGTTTCAATACTTTTGGCAACATAGTGTATGTTGACAATCAGCATGACTATCTCGCTCTAGATCAGCAGTTCATTTCACAGTTGGTCTGTTGTGCACCATTCAATGAATGGCCTGCATTAGGCTGACAATAGAGGAGGAGAATTTTTGCCCAACAAAAGGTATGACAAATTGTGACATATCAGGAAGATATCCACTCTCCTCCAATGATGGTAACAACTGTAATATTCTGGATTCACCATTATTTCCTATCCAAGTGACAAGGGGTAACCAAGACCAAAAGAGAGACATAGAAATAAAAAAACTTGTCAGAAAATGTGAACCCTTCCCTACTTTATCTAAAATGAAAAAATGCTCTGGAAAATCCCCCAGACCCCTGAAACCTACAGTTCTCTATTTTATAAATACCAACCATCTCCCATGGTCAAAAACTGCATCCTACCTGTTAAGTGAGGTGGCCTATCATTGCAATGGGCCAATAGTGGAGTGCAAGAGGGAGTGGGCAACAGTGCTTGCACATGTATAAGTTACATGTACATTATGTGAACTACAGTTGTGTCCAAAATTATTCAACCCCCACTGAAATTGAGTGTTTTGGCCAGTTTGACATTGCTTTTGATCATTCAGTCATCTTGCTTACATTTACATTAAAGAGGCACTTGTAGGTCAGACAAATATAACATAACAGTTATAATGAAATAACCACAAATGTCTTTTCTGTGCTCACAGCATTATCAGTTTTATTCAACCCCCAAGTGACATTCAATCTTAGTACTTAGTACAGCATCCTTTTACAGTTATAACAGCTTTTAAACGTGAAGCATAGCTTGACACAAGTGTCTTGCAGCGATCTACGGGTATCTTCGCCCATTCTTCATGGGCAAAGGCCTCCAGTTCAGTCACATTCTTAGGCTTGCGCACTGCAACTGCTTTCTTTAAGTCCCACCAGAGGTTCTCAATCGGATTTAAGTCTGGTGACTGCGATGGCCACTCTCCAAAATGTTCCAGCCTTTCCTCTGCAACCATGCTCTAGTGGACTTGGAGGTATGCTTGGGATCATTGTCCTGTTGAAAGGTCCAACGTCTCCCAAGCCTCAGGTGTGTGACGGACTGCATCACGTTTCCATCCAATATCTCCTGGTACTGAAGAGAATTCATGGTACCTTGCACACGCTGAAGCTTCCCTGTACCTGCAGAAGCAAAACAGCCCCAAAGCATGATTGACCCTCCACCATGCTTCACAGTAGGCAAGGTGTTCTTTTCATCATAGGCCTTGTTCTTCCTCCTCCAAACATAGCGTTGATCCATGGCCCAAACAGTTCTAATTTTGTTTCATCAGTCCACAGAACACTATCCCACAACTTTTGTGGTTTGTCCACATGGCTTTTGGCATACTGCAGTCGACTCTTCTTATTCTTTGGAGACAGCAAGGGGGTACGCCTGGGAGTTCTGGCACGGAGGCCTTCATTACGCAGTGTGCGTCTTATTGTCTGGGCTGAAACTTCTGTACCCACATCTGACAAATCTTTTCTCAGTTCCTCAGCAGTCACACGGGGACTTCTCTCCACTCTACGCTTCAGGTAGCGCACAGCAGTCGAAGTCAGCATCTTCTTTCTGCCACGACCAGGTAGCGTTTCAACAGTGCCCTTTGCCTTGAATTTGCGAATGATGCTTCCTAAGGTGTCTCTTGGTATGTTTAACATCTTTGCAATCTTCTTATAGCCATTGCCCTTCCTGTGAAGAGAAATCACCTCTTCTCTTGTCTTCCTGGACCATTCTCTTGCCTTCACCATGTTTGTAACCACACCAGTAAATGTCTAGAAGGAGCTGAGTATCACAGTCATTTTAAAGCTGCCTAATTGGTGCTTATTATGCTTGATTGCTGCTCGGTGACATCCACAGGTGTTTTCAATACCTGATGGAAAGCACCTGTATGAACCTCTGTTCTTCAGAGTGGTAGTCTTTAAGGGGTTGAATAATTGTGGCAATGAAGAAACCACATAAGAACCATTTACTACTGTATTACATAAACAATTGATGTCATTTTAGTTGCATTTGGGTAGTTACAACGTCCTTGTAGGATTTGATTCTGAATACAATTCCAAATGTACACTATAGTCCCTAAACCCCTTTACAGCATTGGGGGTTGAATAATTTTGGACACAACTGTATACCTAGGAGTTTGGTGTGTTCCAATGATTATGGCTCCACCCTGCCGACAGTACAGAGCCGCTGCTAAATATTCTTATGCGGACAACGTATTCCTAATTGGCCATAGTATGCCCAGTGAGGCGAACCTCCAGTGCATATATGATGGACTTGCACAACCTTGAACTAGACTAGACTCCACTCTTCACAGTTAGTAAATAAACAAGGAAACTACTTTTGGGCAAAACAGACAAAGTCTCTGCTACCAAAAACCCATGTCAACTCCTATTAAAAGTTTGTAAGGAAGATTCTTTTTTTCATTTAAAGCCTGGCTCCATCCAGATAATTACCATTCACTTTTTGTCCTTGTGGCTTCTGCATAAGAAATGGGAATGAGTGCTTGTCTCTGGGAAAGATAGACACAGACACCAATAAAAAAATGTATTAGAGGTCCTAACATCTCCCCATTCAACTCTCACTGGAGGGATTATCCATCACTTTCAGTGCAGGCAAGTTGAAAGGGGAAATTTCCACAACAATGACAGAGATGGCAATAAAAACCTGACACATGCTCTAAATCTTCACAAAGTCCCTTCCCTCTTTGCACATTATAGACCTCTCCAGTTGTGGGAGTGTCTAATTACCCCTGTGCCAACCCAGCCCGTCTTCAATCTCCAAACATAATACTAATGTAGCTGCCCGGGGAGAAGCAATGGGGAATACTATACAGTGTCACTTGAGGGGCAACCCTGAGTCTCCTGGGGCTGCTGACTGTACATTGCAGTCTTGCAGCTTTTGTATGTTTACAGAAGAGTGGCCTAAACAGGTAGCATGCATAACATATGTAAAGTGGAACTAAACCACAAGATTATGATCAAGACTTTGAGCCCCCAGGACACTTTTGCCATAATGTGCAAGTATGCATGAGATATTTGTACATTATTATAGACATACCTAAGAAAGAAATCCTCTCCAGTGGTGCAATGTCAGCACTCTCCTCCATTGCCGAAATTTCTATCTTCTTCCAGTATTCTTCTGGGTTCAGAGTCTTTGTCCTCTTATGGCCAGGCCTGGCTGACGTAGCGCCAGTGCAAGCGCACAAGAGTTATTCGTTGTTGGTACACGATCATGCCAAGACTGTACATGAGCTGTGTATACTTGGCTCAGTGTACACTTTTAGAAAAAGGTGCTTACAGGCATGACGAAGTATCTATGGCTGAAGAGACATACACAGCGGGAGTTTACTAAGATTGGAGCACACGTCTAGCTCTCATTTTCAAAGCTTAAAGTGTAAATTCATCTTTCAAGAAAAAATAATAAATGCACATATTTATGCAGGAAAAAATGTGCATTTATCATTTTTTCCTACAACAGCCTGTAAAGAATTGCATCTGCAATTAGTGGATCGTGGGTGCAATGTCAGGCTCCTGCAGACACGTCCTGCAGACACGTCCTCTAAATTTCTGCTTGTACCTCTGTCTGGGCTGTTAGAAAGCTGAAGGAAGTGTCAGTGGACTACAAGGGCGCTCATCGGCTCCCTCACAAAGGTACACTTAGCCTTAAATAAGCAGAGGCTAGAAGCTGGTTTCTATTCACCGCTACAGATTATTTCTACAGCCTGTCAATATTTTTGTAAAACAAAAACTTTACTTCTTGGCAGTGTTTCAGAGTCACCGGTTTATATGGATGTACACTTGAAGCAGTGCTTTTAGTTCATAAAATACTTTACAATGGCTTTAAACTCACTTATAATGCTATGAAAATTTTTTTTTTAGGGAGGACTGGTATGAGAACAACACACTTCTCAACAGTCCCAGATTCTACATGACTGCCCTGCATTTTGATACACACAGTGCCACCGATTTGAGCACCGTCCCACAACTCCCCTGCCAGAATCGATCTTCTGCACAGCGGTGCCAGACAGTAGAAATGACAGCTGACATGAGTTAATCAGCACCAGTCAGCTGTGTAGTCAGTGTAGTCTGTCGCTGTAACCATTCATAATTTCTGGAACTGCAGCCAATCAAGAGGTGCTGATTGTTCTTTCCTGACTGACTGATCTTTATAGCTGTCAAGTGGTGATTAATTGATTTAAGCTGAATTACAGGAATTCAGCAACTTTGCAAAAAGTGCAGGACCTCTTTGAGTTAAGTCCAATTAGGTGTATTTCCCCTCTGGGAGCTTTCTCTATTATTTATAAGTGACAGATTTATTGCACTCGCAGGGGATACACACTGGCTGTGAGAGGACAGCAGCACACAGAGCAACTATGCCTGCCCCTTCCGTCTACTGCCCATTCACAGAAGCCTTTGTATTTTGTGAATGAGTTCACATAGTACAAAGGCTTCTGTGAATGGTCAGAAGGAGGGGAGGGGCAGGCACAGGAGTAACAGTGACTCTGCTCTTGAAGGAACTGAGCCTGCAGTGGCCCATTTTGGTGTCAGTGGGAGGAATTATGCTTTATTGTTTGTGACAGTAGAAGGTACAGTTTCTCATTGCTGCGGTCAATGGGAGAAGAAAATGCCACGAGATCCAGATAAAGGCAATCAAAGGGCTTCATTTTGGGGATACTTGACATTGTTATCTCAAGGTAAAAGTTGGTGGATCTGTTGTGTTCCTAAACCATCATATGTGATTGCAATGTTGTGTGTTAACTGAAAGATCTTTTGTAGAAAAAAAAATTAATTTCCATAAGCCACTCCAGGCATCTGTCATTGCTTCATGCTACAACACTTTAACAGATGTTTATACTGAAGAGTGCCATAATTTTCTCCCTGTCTGAAAGATAAAACTGTCG